AAGGTGATCCAAGGTGGTCCCGTTGTCAAGTTTCATGTGTGAGAATCTGCATGAATGAACAAGAAAATGGACAATTGACAAAGCATGCACAGAGAGGTCAGCAAAAAGTGTCGGCCAACAAAACTAAAAGGCGTTCCTTCGCTGAAAGCATGAAGCATGGTGCTACTGAAAAACATGTGTCCAAAGACTGCTCACATCATCTCTTGTGGTTCCAAGTGGCAGAACACCAAGCACTCAGCTTGAGCAAGGTGCATGGGTGTGCAAGGTTTGCTGCCCTAATGCAAGAGGGGGGCAGGAAAAATCAAGTCAAGATCGTGCTGGTCTCATCCACTTAAAGTCAACTTCGGATTCATGTGGAGTACCTATACTCACTGGCTGAGTGGATGGCCCCAAAAAAGTCCAAACTTTAGATTTACCACTAAAATAGTCTTCTCAAAAAGTTTAAAGTTCATGAACTCAGGAAGTAAGTATAAATCAGGTTTGATTCCCCCTTTTGATGAGAAGCATTTCTATTTTACCAGCGTTTCTCGCAGTAGCATGGTGCTCCTCTCTCAATCCGAAGCTGGCATCCTTTAAATCTAGCGACAGGCGTTCAATACCTTTGTGAAGTGTGACAAGCGCCAACATGATGGTTGGTTTGATTCATAAGCTCATGCAGCAAGTAGTACTCACTTCACGATAGAAAAAAGGGGGAGAGGAAGAGGAAAAAAAAACAAGCCCATGCATTGATTTACAATGCGTGTGGCATGCAAGGTGCACCGGCCATTCACTTGAAAATGATCTAGGCTAGCGGTTACCTATACAGTGTGCGCTGAGTTAGCGCCGTTTCCTGAGTTGTACACCAAGGCATTTGGACGAAAGTCTTCTCGGAGCAACCCATCGCCTGGAGCGGTCCCTAATTTTCAGCCCCCAACGGAGGACCGACGGAGGACACTAAAATCGGTGGATTCATGGTGGTTTGCCCTGAAACCGTCCGGAGAGAAAAAAATGGTACCCCCGCAAAAAAATAATAATGGCACATCCTGACGAGCATAAGATTTAAATTGGCCAGTCTGTGAACATCATTTACACTTCCCTGATGTGAAGTTGGGTCTTGTTTTTTGGGTTGTGGGAACTTGGAGTGCCCCCACGTCCCTCCCAAAGGCCCTTCCATCGCCTCCTCGATGGCCTCCTCAACGGACATGGGGCGCATAGTCTTCAGCGACTCCTCGACTTCGCATGCGGAAAAAAAAAAAAAAAAAACGTGGCCATTCCATTTTTGAGGTTTAAAGTTTAAACCAGCTGTCGTGGGGAACCACCAACCAAAAAGGATTTAGAGGCAGTGTTGTTTTTAGGAGTTTAGACCAGTTTTAGTGAAAAGCCCACCAAGCAAAAGGGTGGAGCATGAGGGCCACTGAACAACTGACTGCCAAAGTGTCGAAAGTGCCATTGGAAGTTCCATGCCAAAGTGCCCCGTTTGATATCACCTCTGAATGAGCCAAAAGGAGGGCCGGTGTAGTGGCTCCTGCATAGCCACATGTTGAACCGAATCCCCATTGCTTTCGCAATAGAAGTGATGAAATGATTTCCACGGAAAAGCTTACAAGGCTTGGCCCGATGAAATCATGAATCATATCACCACTCCTGCCAGCAAAAACCAACTTCGCCCAGCCGACCCAAGCCGCCCAGAGGTCGCCAAGTACCTGTGAAGTACTGACTTTGGAGGGTCAAGCCAAGCAAACGAAACGGATGTTGCCATGTACTTGAGCCCTACATCACTCGCTCCTGGCACTCCCAAACCTAGACTCGGTCTGCCAGGGCCAGGGCTCCAGCTGCCGACATGGGTCCACCCAATCCCAGGAAAACCACGGAAGCTCTGGCGTTCGCCTTTCCAGAGTGTCCACTCCAAGCCGACAAAAAAAAGCGGGGGCCACGCACTTACCTCCCCTTCAAGCAACAACCCAGTGAAGTGTGGCCAAGGATGATGTTGAAACCCGGGCTTAGGATAGGGGCCCGGTTTCGCTCACCCTCAATTCGTGGTGTACCCGGCTTCGTTGCTCCCTGAGCTCCACAACTTCTCGCCAGCCCATCGCTCCCTCGTCAAGATCTCCGGGACCCGCTCCGGCCCTGCGGAACCGGATCGGACGAGCCCAGCTGAAGCGAGGCAGGGGTCAGCGAGGGAAATGGGAGGCCTGAGCCCGGAATGAACCGGAATGAATCAAAAAAGGCTGGCCAATTCTTGGCTTCTCACTGTCAAGAGCCACCTTATGGAGTTGAGCGCATCCGCCAGTCACGACATTGTTATCTGAAGCCAAGTGGGAACAATGACACTCCTCTGACTCACTTTGACATAGGCCCAACGCTTTCCTTAAATCATCAAGAAGGCAGACAAAGATCCCACTCAAAGAAAATGCGGAAAACACAGCAGGCAATTTGGTCACATTCATTCACAGCTACTGGGAACCTACATAAACCTTTGGATGCTATGAAGGCTGGTTTCCAAACAAGTGAATGATATGCTAAAAGCACAGAATCCCAAGTCAACACAAGCACATGCTCACATCCATCCGGCCATGCAATGCCAGCGCCCGGCCACGTCCGTTGCCGTTCTGAGCGTCGTCGGACTCAGCGGAGGTAAAACCCTCTCAACCCACGACTCTCCTCCGCAGTACGTGGGGCCTGGTAATCCCAAGTGGCTCGGAACTCCCGCAAACCACTTGCAAAGGGCCTTTTGCTTACTTTGCTGTGCAATGGCACTTCCCGAATCGCAACGTAGCCCTCCCTTATGGTGCACCGACCAATGTGTTGACTCTTCTGAAGCTGCTGACTTGGTTGACTTGATGCCGAAAGTTGGTTCTGACCCATGGCTCGTGAGAAGCCAGTTGCGGCAATCTGCGCCGAACTTGTGTCGAAATGAGGCTTTGTCTTCGCATTTCCGTATTTAGGTTGCCTCCACCGTGCCAGGGATCCCATCGACGCACCCTCAGGGCCGAGCCCATTGCACTCGCTTCGCCTTGGTTGCGTGGGGTCCGGTGTCTCAACAAATCATCCAGCGCTCCAATCCCCCCTGGGCCCTTGGGCCGGAAATTAGAGCGGCACGAAGCGCCGCGACACGAAGGCAAACCCCACCCCATATTCTCCCTCAAGCCACATGCCTTTGGAGCTTGCTTTGAGAGCTGCGTGTGCTTGCTTCAACAATTAAAACCCATTCACCTGAGGCAATGCTTTCGACAAGTTGGGGGGGGCGGTCCCGCGAACGCTAAGCCCCGAGCGGACTTGGGCGATTGCGAGCCCACGCTCGGCGCCCTTGCCCTTGCCGCTTGCGCTTGGTAATGTTTCCACTGAAACCATCTGAAACATTCACTCAGCTGTTCTCTGATCCCCAAATGGAAAAGATCGTTAGCCATCTTCCCGACATTTGTCATGGCTAGGATGACACCCTCGACATTACCCGTCAAACGCTGATTTGGACATCAACCTTCCGAAATCCTGAGCACCTTCCAACATGCTCAACAAAAAAACCCAGAACAGGCACTCCTATAATTTTTGCAGCACGGGTGCACCCATTTCTTGGGGGGGGTGGCCCATTTTGGGGTTCCCAAAACCGAGGCCTTCCCCCCCTCCCTTGGACCCATCTGCTCTCCCTGCACGCACCTCGAGTCCGTAGGCACCTCCCGCGAAAATCCAACGAGTAGGAACGCAGGGTTTGGGAATGAACCGCAAAGGGGATCCCCTTAACAGAAACCACAGGGGATGGTTTATGGAGATCATCCCAATTCTCATTCCCTGCTGAGAACTAGCAAGGAAAACCACTTGGTCGACACGATGAACAGCGATACATGCAAGGAGGGACAGCCGGAGCGGCGCGACAACTCAGAACAGACCACCTCAGGGACGCTGCGCAAGCTGCAACAAGTGCTCCAAGGAAGGGAATCTCAGGTGGCTAAGGGGAAAATTGTGACTTTGGCCCCCTTGTGTTGTGGGCAATTTTTGGGAACCACCTGCTCAAAGGTTTGCGTCTTGCAGCAACGCGAAGCGCTCTAGAGATTCAAGCAATGGATGGTTGAACGGCTCGAGAGCATCGTGTCTTGCCTTGTTGCAAGCTGTGCCTTCCAGGTCTTGCCCAAGTCCGTCAGCAAGTCCACCCTTTAAGATTGAAGCTGAGCAGAGTAACGTGCTTCCGCTGAGCAGTTTCTTTAGCAGCCAGGGAACACCCAGTAGGTGTGCTGAAACCTAGGAAAACTGGAAGCCACCTGAAATCTCTTTGAACATCTCTGGCTTCCAGCTGCCAAAATGGCACCTACACTCTTCAGACTAACATGGAAGCCTCTGTAAATGGAACGGGAGCTGCCATGGGTGTAGGTCAAAAATATACCACCAGGGGACTGCAGGTTTTAGTCTTTGGTTCCATTTGCCAGGGTTCCATTTTGGGTACCTATTTTTGACCCACAGCCCCATGTTGGTTTAGGGGCGTATAGCCATCCTCTATTTCCCCCGCATGCCCCACACGTCCGTGCTTTCGGCTCATTCTTCTGAGGGGGACGGGGGAGGTGGGTCCGTCCCCAATTTCCATTTCTCCAGGCTTCCCCTAAAAGGAAAATGGCTAAATGGCCATGGGTCAAAATCCCGCACCCCCAGTGAACATCCCAATTCCCACTAAAATAGACTAAAACGGGTGGTGAATTGACCTACCCCAAAATGGGATCCCATTGGGTTTGACTCACAGCCAAATGGCGATCTCCGGTGGACATTTTCCAGGGGATTGTCATGGGTGGAGCAAAGCTCAAGCCACTCAAGTCGGAGCAGGGCGCCTGCACCCAGGAGGCGCCTGGCCGAGAGCTCGGACCCTTTGGCTGACGCTCCGCAGTTGGAGCCTTAAGCTGTAAGATGTATTCAATGGAGATCCTAGTGATCCCTGTTATTTTGAGATAGTGATATTTTTGTTGTTTTGTTGGCGTCCTTTCATATGCCAAACGGAACACATAGCGGTTCAAAGGGAAAGCTCTCATGTCCAAACCGGGCCAACAAAGTGCCTTTGCTTGCCCTGGTCGAGAGCCTGTCTTCAAGCAACGTCGAAACGGGGGGCCACTGGTCGAAGCGGTAAGGCCCAAATGATACACAAAGGGCCCAAGTGGGGAGTGGGGTGCCTCGGCTCAAGAGGCGCCGGAAGTGTGCAGGCTAGACTCTCGGCCGGAGAAGGAGAGTTTTTCATGGCAGAGAAGCAGAGCAGCGGAGCTCAGGAGGCAAGCCTGAGCTTCAAGTGTGCAAGCCGATCTCGAGATCGGCTGAGGGGACTGGAAGCCCACCCCTCCAACGCCAGGTCCATGGGCGTGGGAAGCAACTGTGATCTCAAGTGGACTCTATGGGTCCATGGTTCCCAATCGCCACCAGCCAACCTCCCGCCCGCCTGCGCCTTGCGGCATGAGAACCATGCGCGCGCCAGTGGGAGAATACGACATGGCGCGCCCCCCGCAAAGGCGCTCCGACGGTCTCAGTTCGGAGCCAAGAAGCTGAAGTGATGCGCACGACACGGGTTGGCCGCGAACGAGAAGCGCCAAGATGCACCAATTTGATGGGCCGGCGCCAAAAAGGTCGGGCTTGACGAAGTCTCAACCAAACCCGTGAATTGCGTTGTTTGAAACACCATCGGTGTGGAGAAAAAAGGTGAACACGTCAGAAACTGCAAATATTAGGATGATCCCTGACGACAGGCTTATCAGCTGGAGTTACAAGTGCGCGTCAAAATATGTCTGACACTCAACATCTACAAATTTGGGGGCGAAATTCAACTACGTTGCCTGGTCACTGGCTCGGCACATCTCGGCGCACAAAAGCCCTGGCTAAGGGGTTGCTTCTTCGCCCCCCAACCCGCTCAACCCCCTCAACCTACCCCAACCTCGCCCTCCCCAACCCTCAGAGTTCAGTCCGCTCCCAAAACGGAACTCTCGGACACTTGTCACACGGGCAAACTCACCGGGCATGATCTGAGGTGCCCCACTGATGGCCTGACCAGCAAGCCCGCAAGTCGGCCCTATCTGAAATAGGTGTGTGTGTGTGTGGGTTTTGCTGACGGCGTGAAGAGAAACCAAAAGGAAACCCGCACTTGGGTCCCGCTGTGTTGAGACCCCTTCGATTCGCGATATGGAATGAATTCCGGGACCTAATACCCAGGTATGGAGGCGTGTAACAAATTTTGGTTGGTGACAAAGAAGCCTCATATCGTATGATATAATTTCCTCGCTGTTTAAGCGAGCTTGAAGCCGGAGTCGATGCGTACAATTAAGAGAACCCACTGACTGTCCAGGCCTGGTGACAAACACTCGGTTTCAAGGGCCCAGACGCTTCGCTAGTTCAACCTGCACAGAGCTAGAAAGAGCCAGCCAGTCACGTCAAGCTCGAAGTTGTCCAAACAAATGGATTGGGAGTGTCAAGCATCGCTCCCCTGTGAGACCTTTTCTGGCGGCGCGCTGGTAGAGGCACTCCGAAAGGACTTCCACAACTGGAAAACCACCGCTATGACGGTGACAACAAACATAGTATAGTATGTTTCTGAAATACACACATATGTATCCATATACTATCTATTTATATATATATATATATTGTATATATACTATATATATATATATTGTTTTTGAGGCTACCCGTTGTTTAGGTTGGTCTATAGGGACACGAAAAGATTCCATCATTTTGGGGTTGACCTATTTTGACACATATCCATGTTTGCTGGATCTTCGGCCATCGCTTCCCTCAAATTCCCAAAAGGAGTCTCGGGCTCGTCCTGCGCATGCTTGCTTTCCGAGCTGCAAAAGGCTGTGCACAAAATTGGTTCAAGAACAACCGGCATTCTTCCAAAGGGGACCACTAGATGGAAAATGTTGACCCTGAGATGGTGATGTTAAGTGGAGATGTTCCCACCAAACCAACAGCAACCCCACGTTAACCCCCCGTACCCTTCCTCGTGTCCCACTTCGCTCCCTGAACGCGCCTTCGACGGCTTGGGCCGCCCTGGGGGGAGAAAAAGGGAGCGGGGAGGCAAGGGAGGTCAGGGCCGAACGGATGGGTTCCAGTCATGGGAATCCATGGTCAAAGCTCCCAGATAGGGTGTCAAAATTGGGATTTGGACCCCAAGGGGATGGGTCTTCCTCTTGCAGAAGTCGCCCCTTGTACTTACACCTTTTGACCATGAGTTCATTCCCTTTTCCTTGTAGGATGCCGCTAAAAAAACGGCAGCGCAAGTCTCAAACCTATCAAATATGCACAAAGGCTATGAAGCGCGAGGGGTTGTATGAAGTTCCTCCTCACCGATTGAAGGCTTGTGTTTCTTGCAATTGCATCTTTCCTCTCTTGCTGAGGTTACGGCGGTTTTTGCAATTCAGATTTGTGTGTGCAATTCATACTTGCCAGCAACTGAAAGGACAGTAACCATTTCAGCGCTGTGGATCATGGCAAGAGTGCCATGCTGTGGCTGTGGCGTGCTGATTTCAGTCCAGTCGTTCCACTCTTTTTCAAGGAGACGTCTATCGTGTGGTCATCACAGTTGTCCGGGAACAGGTTCCAGCATTTTTTCCACCTATAAAGCCCTCTTCCATCCGCGTGGTCCTACCGTGGATGGACGAAATCCTGCACCACCTAAGAAATCCTGGAATCCACAAACAAGGGTTTCCCATGGATTCAAAGTGGTGCGAAACGGATTTCGCAATCATCCACAGAAATTTTGCATCTTCTTGCTATCGCCTGAGTTGTACGTAGATCTGGCTCTAGTCCGGGCACAAACAGGACGGCAAGTCAAGCGCCCATGCAAGAGCGGTCTTTGCCCAGCTGCCATTGGGGAAACAACACACAAAAGAATATGGATGCCCCTGGACAACTAAGGGAAGTCTGCGCGAGAGGACAAAGAGAACCTGATGCAAAAGAGACTTTGTGCGAGCCTCACCAAACTCGTGCATCCTTTTCAATGCTAAGCAGGGGCAACGTATTGAATCGAATTGATGAAAGAACAAAGCAATTCACGCCAAGCTGGAGCTGCGTCTCTCCACACGCCCCCACTGATCGCGTGTTGATTCATCTTACCTGGTGCCTGTAGAACTTTCCTCAGCAAATGGCGGATGTCTGGTAGGTTCGCTCTCCCCATCTACCTTTGCAGAGTAGCAAGCCCATCGTGTTTGGTGAGAGTGCTGCCACCCACAGAAAAAGTAATGAAAATAGCACGTGTTGTGCTGCATGTCGTCCGGCACTTGTCCATTTTCAGACCTACGCACTTCCGCGACTCACTTTTTGTCCATATTCCTGTACGGCTTTCGCCCGGTACCTGTTGACGCGACAGCGCGCACATCGGCGCGGCAATGGCCCTGCTAGCTGGCAGCAAAGGTCGCGCTTTAGCTGCAGCTGTCGGAGACACAGCGATCCCTATGAAACGGAATCATATTCCAACTAAGTGAAAACTCCCCCACCCGAGATACTCTCGAAGCCATTAGACTGCATTGGTGCGCTCTCTCCCTGAGCTATTTACATCTAGCGTGGCCCTAGATATCAAATGCAGGTGCCTGCATGATGAAGCTGGAACATGACTACGTGGGGAAGGCTTGATTCTACTGGAATCTCCGATTACGCATACGCACGCAAGGACAGACAAACACACAGACTGCCAAACAAAAAGAGGCCAAGGTTGATTGCAAAACCTCTGCCTTGAGGTTCCACATGCTCCGCAAAACATAACCATTGTTTCCAGTCATAACCACTTCACTTTCAGGCTAACTGGAACAGGTAAAGCGCCAACGTCCAACCCGGGTTTGCCTACCTTGCGACCTTTGCCGCTGTGAGCCGCTACGTGCTTTCCGCCGGGCTTTGACTAAAGCCGCCGGGCAAATTCCCCTCCGGAAGTGAAACAGCCAAAGGCCTCGAGCTCGGGTGTTTAAAGGCAATGTCAAATGCCAACTGGTCGGTGTCCTTTCGGATCTGAAAACACAGCAAGAATCACACCGCAGGTCCCAAAAATTGTGGTAGTCCCAACAGCTTGCAAGCTTCGCATGAGACGTTGCCCATGATCAATGTAGCCCTTGTCGGGTGGAGCCTAGATGTGTGTCCAAGTAGGGAACCCCCAACTTGGGGGGGTCCTTTTGGCTTCCCTTTAAACCAACCTGCAACATGGTGCCCTCGAGACTCGAAACACCAAGCCCTATGATCATCCAATGGCTTGACTTCTCAGAAACCGCCCAACACAGTTGGCCCGGTCAAGGGCCACTCCAAGACCCCCAATCCCAATTCAGTTAGGGTTTAGGTCGGCCCTCCTCCAAGTGCCCTTGAATACCGAAGAATCCAGAAACGGGTGAACAAAAAAAGGCAGCGCAAAAAAATACCGTGCACAAAAAGGCCGCGCAACGGAAGGAACAACAGCATGGGCTCAAACGACAATGTGCTCAGCCATCCGAGGGGTTGGTGTTTTGTTTTTTTTAGCGTCTCTGCTTCATCCCTCTGGCATCCGTCCGGCAACCCCAACATACTGCCCAAACAGAACACCAGGTAAACAGAAACACGGCTCATGAAGAACGCGGGCCCCTTTTCTCCCTGGCCTCCAGGACCTGCAAAGAAGGTTGACATCTGGGGGCTTGACCCATGGATGGGAAACCAAAACGGTGAAAAGGAGCTCGTGGCCCGGGGCAGCGCCGAAACGCGCCAAGGGCCGCGGCCCGGCTCAGCGGTCGGAGATGCCCAGATCGCTACGGCAAAGCGGGCAGGTCCTGCGGCAAGAGGGGTTTTGAGGTGTCAAAAAGGGCGCCAAGATTGTGGCGTTCCTGTTGGTTTCCGTTTGGTTTAGCAGCCCCGAAATGGGTGCCTCAACAAAAGACAATGTTAGCTGACCGTTGAAAGCTGGTCAGTTCAAGCTCGGGCGGGATGGACCAACAGATCTTCCTCTGGTTGGTTAAGGAGTCAAGGAAAACTTCGCCGTCTTTGGTGACTGCTGTGGATGGACAAAATCCTGCACCACCTAAGAAAACCTGGACTGATGAGTCCCTGGTAAATGCCAACAAACGAAGGCTTCTCATGGATTCAAAGTGGTGCAGGATTTCGTCCACCCACAGTGGCTCACAAGTGGCAGGAGCAACAGAAATGGGCTGAACAGGCAAGCCTCGATTGTCGTCAACCTGAAGCCCCTCGCCTTAATATCATCGTCCAGTCATCCGGTTTAGAAGACAAACCACACATCAATAAAATGATGAAATAAAACCCCAAGTGCTATGGTTAAGCTGGTTCAAAGCAAACACCGCGAAAGACATTCCGAAAAGGACAACCCAAGGTGGCAGTTGATAGGACGCCTTTTGCCACGACGATGCCATGTCACTTTGTTCACTTTGTTGAGAGAGAAAGAGTTCCAGGTGCAACGGTACTTGGAAAGAGAGGATTCCCCTGACCTCAAATAGCGGGCTTTCTATGTCTAGACTCTTGAGGAACCTCTTTTGAAAGCTCGCATGGCCCCCTGAAAGCGTGAAAACCGGTGTGTTTCCCCCTTTAAATCAGCCCCAACGGGCGCCCCCTTCACAGCCACTGTCCTGTGCACCATCAACCAATTCTGGAGATGCGCCTGGCCAGAGCTCATGCCACTCCGGACGGTTGGCTTCTGATTTTCTTCGGCGGGCACTTGGCAGACGAGTTTCTTCGGTTCGGGTCCCATACACTTGGACCGACCTAAGCCCTACCTGAATTGGGATTGGGGGTCTTGGAGCGCCTGATTTATTTTTTTAGGCATACAGTGGGTGGAAATCATGCTAACATGCAGTAGTAAAATGGCTTGTTCCGTGCATGGCATGCTCCAAATGATGTCAGTCAATCAAACGGGGAACCACCCTTGCCGTCATGAAACTTGAGACGAACAGAATCACAACCCGTAAGTATCCCGCTATTCGGGATGCCGATGCGATGAGGTGGGGATCTACCGCAAAAAGGGGATCAGCGAAAAAGAAAGAACGAGCAACTATGTTTCAAGGATTCAGCAAGAAGGGTCAAGACTACTATTATGTTGAAGGGATGACTGGCCCCTATTTGAGGTCAGAGATTCTGCAGCTATGACAAGTGTGCAGGGTCCAGCCATACAATCCAAGCATTGAATCGCAAGCGGAGTTGTCTTTCTCCCTGGCTCCTGTGCCTGCCGGCCAGCTTGGGGCTTCAAACGGAGGACATGGACAAGACCGCCAAGCAATTCCCTGGCTTCTGCGCCGGAAGAAAGCATAACTTGCTGCATCCCTGCAACTTTGCAATGGCATGCCTCACAAATCCTGCTGGTGTCCAGCGTGCAAGGAGCAGCAGCAAAATCACAGCTGAAAGCTTCATAGCCGCTGCTTCTGCGCACGGTTGTCATATTGTTGATATGTGACGTCCGACTGAAAAACACATGCATCAAACGAATCTCGGTAGGTGAATATGCGGAGGAAGGCAACCTTGTTCAGTGGAAAGGTGTCAAACTATTGGGACAGTGGCGAACTACCTTACCCTGCAAGGCAGTTGCTGTGGAATACTGGGCACTTGAAACGTTCAACGGCTGCAGACTTGGCCAGGCCTTGTGAAAGACGTGGCCACACTGCTTCCTCAGTCAGGCGTCATCCAAAATCCACGTGGACTGATCTCGGTGGGGGGCCAAAAGAGAAGAGAGGAAAGACATCAAGAGCGCTTGCGGGACGACCTGGTTGATGCGTGGGTCCACCAAGATGGTTTGACAGCTTGCGTACGCCCTCGCAATACTTTGGTGACAATTGAGCCTCCCATTCATGGTGGAGTGATCCAACGGGACCCAGGCTGTCCGCAAACCGCCGCTGAATCCGAAACCTAAAAATAAGAACGCAGAACAGGATCCTTCTTGCTTTTTTACTTGTACACCTGCATCGGTGACCTCGCCATAGCCACAATACTTTAAACTCCGTGCCATCCCAAGTGAAAGTGGAGGGGCTGGAGTGGAAACTGATGGTTCTCCAAATAAATCAGAAACAATTTCTAACATGGGATTGGGGTCAGACTATATACCCCTAAACCACCAAACAACTCCACTACCCCACTACCAATCCCCATAAACTCCACTACCCCTCAAACCCATCTCAAAGAAGAAAAAACAACGAGGAAAAAACAAAAACGCGAGAATTCGCCCGAGCCGCGTCTTCACGAGAACGCCCTCTGAGTGGGCAAAGTCCTGGCAGTTGGCGGCGAAATGCGCGCCGTGCGACTGCAGGAACGCCACGAAACGACTGAGGATGATCCCCTTTTGGTTGGAGTGGTTGAGGGGAAACACGAGGAATCCAACCTGTCTTAGGGGTCCAACTACTGTGGCTGGTTCTCCCGACATCCAGAAATCGCGCCAGGAAATCAAACCAGGGTTGGAACCCGAACGTTTGTTGGGATTTACAGGGGAATCGAATAGGTGGTGCAAGATGTCGTCCACAGCATGCCTCACACTAACTGGTATGTTTTTTGTTTCAGATTGGTGGGCTGATTTGCAACGACCTGCCTGGTCCTGGCCAGAAAATAGGACATTTCATTCGGAATCCAAAAGTCGGCCACACAGATTGCCGGGGCCGGGCATGCAGCGCCTTTGGCTGCCTTTCGGGTGGCCTCAATCCAAGCTTGTATTCAAGCCCTCCGGAGTGAGGGGTGCAAGTGCCAACCTGACACGGGTTCAGGCACTGGTGGGGTGACAACCCCTATGTGAGCAGGAGGAAACCTCCTCAAGCCGTCTGGAGAATGACTGGCGCAAATCTGCCAATGCGCGCCTCCTTTTGTTTGGCAGGCCGACGGTGGGTTGAATCTATCACACAAATGATGATGTCCCTTTCAACCTGCACTCCACCAAAAGGAAACTCTGGTTACATTGGCCCACAAGGAGATGTTCAAAGCCAGCAAAAAGGAAAATAGGGAGCCCTGTCGAACTGACCACGTTCCAAAACTCTTTTCTACAATGGAGGCTGGCCGAAGTCTCTGCAAATGCTCGTGAATTGAAACAGAGTGGTTGTGCGGAGCGGCTCTCGAGTGGACGAAGTGGCCGCAGTGCATCTTCGACTACCAGTAGACTCATTTTCAACCTTTTCAGCTCCGTCGCTGACGTATAAACACAATAGACTGACTGAAATGGTGATTTTGTTAGAGCAGTGGGCTAAGCCGACGGCGTTTCTAGGCTGGACACATGGCATACCGTTGGTCTACCTTCTCAGGGAATGACTTGGAGGGAAGCGACGGAGAAGCGAAAGGAACTGAGGGGTGCTGACATACTATGAAAGCATACTGGTGGCTAAGGTTTTGGTTCAGGGTGGGGTATATAAGGTGGAGGGTTTGGAAAGCTGTACAGTTCGGGGTGAAGGCTTGGTTTAGGTTGATTTGGAAAAACTGGGGTCAAAGTGGGACTGGTTTAGGGTTGGTTTAGCGCTGGGTGAGGATAGTCGATCGAGGCCACAACATCATCAAACCAAAAATCAAAACAAGAGACACAACATGCAAGCAAAAAAGCCGCTGGAAAATCCGAGCAAACTACCACAAATGGTACCTCTTCCGCCAATCCTCGAGGCAGATGGAGCAGCTCGTCTGCTCCAAGGTGGCCGGATCTTCCAGGGTCACCTCCTGACGAGCGCCACGGGTCCCATGTGAGTGGCTGTTGGGTTGGCGATTCTTGCGTGTTTCTTCTCTTTCTTTCATTTTTTTGGGGGGGTCCGATTTCACAGTGGCCCATTCTGGTTTCAGTGGGAGAAAAGTTGATGGAATCAAACTGTCCTTGGCTCGGACCAAACTTTGTGCGACCGTTTCTGGTTGTTAAATCTCACGAGCTTGTGCGGTCTGGCCTCAGGAAGTGTATGGAAGCATTCTGTTGAAAAAGGAACAGCCATAAGCGTTCAGCACCTCCCAGCCCACCCACATGGAACGCTTTCCCAGAACATAATTAGTTTGGAGACCACCTCGCAACCCACAGCAGCCCTTCCAACTGCGCACACCTTTCTCCTTCCCCCTAAAAGCGTCGATGACTTTGTGATGCAGCGCGGCACTGATGCTGAAGTTCCGCGAGTTCAACTGAAGTTCGGCGAGTTAAAATACAGTTCAGCGAGTTGAGCGGAAGTTCGGCGAATTCAGCGGGCGTTCAGCGACTTCAGCTGAAGTTCAGCGAGGTTCAGCGAATTCAGCAGGCGTTCAGCGACTTCAGCTGAAGTTCGGCGAGTTCGGCGAATTCGGCTGAAGTTGGGCGAGTTAAGCTGAATTCGCCGAATTCGCCGAACTTCAGCTTAACTCGCCCAACTAGCGGAAGTTCAGCGAATTCAGCCGAAGTTCAGCGAGTTCAGCGGAAGTTCAGCAAATTCAGCCGAAGTTCAGCGAGTTCAGCTCAAGTTCAGAGAGTTCAGCTGAAGTTCAGCAAGTTCAACTGGAGTTCACCGAGTTCAGCTGAAGTTTAGCGAATTCAGGTGAAGTTCGGCGAATTCAGCTGAAGTTCGGCGAATTCAGCTGAAGTTCGGCGAATTCAGCTGAATTCAACGAGTTCAGCTGAAGTTCGGCGAGGTCAGTGGGTTCAGCTGATATTCAGCGATTTCAGGTCCTTTTCTGGCTGGGATTTTCCGCTACCAACCCCCACTTACCCGAAGTGCGCAGAACCTGACCGCCGTCTATCAACTTCCTCCCAATATGTGCCTAGCTGTGTGGAAACACAAGCATCAAGATGCGTTCGGCTGATGATGACAAAAGTGCAGAACGCTTGTTTCAAACCTGGCCACCCTAAGCCTGACCTCGTGAAAGTTAACATTTCTGCTTCTCCACGTTTTAGGATGTCTGTCTGTCTGTTGGCATTTTCCCCCCGGATCCCTTGAAACGGTTTGCCTATGTCGGGTCTCCAAATGAGCTCCCAAGATGGCCAAACGTGGTCTCAGCAATACTCTGCAGCATCTGACTGCCAGTGGTACTGTCACAGGGAACTCCAAGGGTAGCCTTTTGGGTGTGGCGCCAAATGAAACCGCCGGTTGGCAAACCGCCCCGTTTGCTGCGGACATTGCGGGGAGCAATCCGATCGAACTCCAAGACTGAGAGAGCCTGATCCTTCCGGCCAGTGGTGGAAGCCGATTCGCTTCACACGAGGGAAACAAGAGGAGAACGGAAGAGGGAGCAGCTTGCTCGGAGAAACCGCAGGTTTTCGTCGTTTCCATGTAAGGTGCCTTTCTTGGGTACTCGTTGAGCCAAACATTTCTATCTTCCGGTGTTTTGCCTTTTCATTTGGGCGTTGACAAACACGTCAAGTGATTGTTCGTCGCACATGGCACTGCTAAATTTCGAGGTTGAGAGCAATACATGCACTACCTCGGCATCAAGACATACCGTCCTTTATGAACCTAAATGGCAACCAAGGAGTTTTGGCCCATCGCAGGCCATGTGAGCGCTCGATGGCAAAACGGCAACTCTGGTAGGAGAAGCACATTGCGGCCAAAATGCCAGTTATCTTGCTGGTGCTCAGTAGGGAATGACCTTCCGGGTCTTGGGAATGAACCATTCCGGGGTCCCCTCAACGGAAAAGCCACCAGTTGGATGGTTTGTAAGGGAAAATCCAATTCTCATTTACCTGCATCTCTCGCACCAGCAAGGGGCCCATTCCCGTATTGGTCACTCCAATTCCCCTCGGTTCCTCCGTGTTGCGCTCCAGCGACCCAGGCGGCGCCGCGTCACCTTAGCGCAACGTCCTTCCACAAAGTCCGCATTTGGTCTCCGCTTCTTCTTCGGAACCCAAAGTTTGCGAGAGTGGCTCTCATTTCATCTAAGAGGGACAGTCATTGCCTAGACTTGTCTCATTGCCTAGACTTGTCTCATTGCCCAGACTTGTCTCAGGCTGGATGCACCAAGGAGCGAAATTGTTGGCCAGCGCGGGTTCCCCAGTTCTCCACAAAGAGGAAATACTGCGGATGGACGAAATTCTGAACCACTTTGAAGCCAACGGAAACCGTCATTTGTTAGTATGAATCGAATCATTCCAGGGTGTCATAGGTGCAGGATTTTGTCCACCCACTGGCGTCCAAGGGGTCCCGGGGTCCCGGGGTCCCGGGGTCCCGGCTGACTCGGATGAGGCCTCTTCTGGCCAGGCAGTAGAGGATCTGTGAGAGGCCCGCCACGCCAATGAGGATGAACAAGGAGTAGAGGAGGTTGAAGCTGGCCTCGGGGCTTCCCAAAAACAAAACAAACGCCTCAAATGGTTGGTGGGTTGGTGGAGTTGGGTTGGGTTGGGTTGGGTTGGGTTGGGTTGGGTTGGGTTGGGTTGGGTTGGGTTGGGTTGGGCTGGGCTGGGCTGGGCTGGGCTGGGTTGGGTTGGTTGGCTGGCTGGTTTGTGGTTGGTTGGTTGCTTGCTTGGCCACATTGAGGAGTGCCATGAAGACTCTTTCTGCCATGGTTTCCCCTTCGGAACCTTGAGATTTGAACCAAACATTCTCGAGGGCCATGACAGAAACGTTGGCCCCGAGTTTTTCAGGTGCACGAGCGCCCGGCGTACGCGCGGATGGCAGCTAACAGCCCGGGTGCTACCTGGCACCAGCAAGGCCCTTTTCACGGCCCTGGGGGGGGGATGTCATCCTACATCCCCCAGTCTTTAGTGGGGAACCACCACCATCTGGAAGGACTGAGGATCAAACAAAGCGACGCTTTTGTCAGCTGCAAAGCAAAGGATCGGGGCCATCTAAGGAACAGGTTGTCGACCCTCAAGAAAGGGTTGCACGACCTTGAATCAAAGGCTGAAACGAGGAACCCCGCCCCACACCCTCAAAACAACCCCAGATCGCGAAGTTTTGATTCCAGGCTCCAGCCATTCTTTTCAAAGATCCACGCCAATCAACATAAGGGAAACAGGCACTCGCTTAAAGAGGACGCCTGACGAGAATGACTAGACCTTTGATCTCATGTCCTGACTTGCTGGTGCGATAGGTAGGGAATGAGGGCATGAACCTAGGGATTCCCGTATATAAAGGAAACCACCAGTTGGACGGATTACGTTTGGGTCATTCCAATTCTCAGTCCCTGCATCTCTCGCACCAGCAAGATGACTCGTGGGGATCGCCCGAGACCTCGCCTCCTTGCAGGGTCTCACCTCCGGCTCCTCCACCGCCGTGCCGTTCAGCCCTGGCGGTTTGATCAACCCGAGCGGCCAGCGAAAACCTCTACACACACACACACAGCACGCGAGCCACGTTCGAACAAAATCCTTGTTTCGCTGAAAGGTGGCACAATTATGGAACTTCCTGGCTTTTGCAGAAGATTTAGTGAGTCCCCCCATGTCCCTCCCAAATGGACCGTTCCGACATCCCACACAGTGACGGATCTCACGCCTCGATCCTGCAATGCAGGCTCTTTGGCTTGGCTGACCTCAGTTGGTTTGGCCTTGAAATGGCTTGGGCCCCTTCAACAACCAAAAACAAGACCTACTTGATGTGTAACAGAACAAAAACAGGGCTACTCACAGAAAAACCTGCTGCAAACGCGGATAACATCAGACCAACACATGAGCGGAGATGTCTGCCATCTTCCTCAGACTTGGCTTCCCAAAGTCTTGAACATGCATCCACAAGCAAGGCCGAGCTGGAATGCGTGCTCGGCCAACATTTCAGGCCACTGGCATGCAGCCGGATGCAGTTTGCTCATGTGCGCAATCCCCCAATCCGCAGCTGCCTGTCTGCATTTTAAGGAGGAAAAAACGCGGAGCGTGTCCGCTCAGTTGGCCCTTCTGTCCGTCTCTGATGGTTCTAAAGGAGCCGTTCTAACCTGATTCCCTTCCAAGGGGGGCTGGGCAACTCATGTGGGTGTTCCTGTTTTAAGGGAACCTCCCCAAACAAAAATAAGAAGAAAACGTGGTGTTCCACAAAACAGGCAACTCCAAAAAAATGCTTGGCACACCATAGCATCCAAAACCATGTGGATGGACGAAATCCTGCACCACTTCGAAACCGTGGTTGAAACCATTGTTTGTTGGTAGTTACATCATTTCAGGGTTTCTTAGGTGGTGCGAAATGGAAATCGTCCACAGCATCGCCCCCTTTGCGCCAAAGCCCAGTGTCTGCATCAGTCCTCTCAGGACCCTGGGCTCCGCGCCCAGTAGAGGCCCACGCAATTCCTCGATTCGGCCGGCACGATCCGGCCGACGGGGGAGCTTTCCTTTTGGACCAGAACTGGAGAATGACACACATGTGTGGGTATCTCTATATATATATACATTCATTATTATTACTAATATCATCATTATCATTATCATTATCATTATCATCATTATTATTATTACTGTTATTATTACCCACAAAACACGCGGCTCTCCCACAAGCATCTTTATGGGGATGTCTGCCGCTGCCTTTAGGGTTTAGGTTTAGGGTTGTTAGGGTTTAGGTTTAGGGTTTTTAGGGTTTAGGTTTAGGGCTTTTAGGGTTTAGGTTTAGGGTTTAGGGCTTTTAGGGTTTAGGTTTAGGGTTTTTAGGGTTTAGGTTTAGGGTTTTTAGGGTTTAGGTTTAGGGTTGTTAGGGTTTAGGTTTAGGGTTTTCAGGGTTTAGGTTCAGGGTTTTTAGGGTTTAGGTTTAGGGTTGTTAGGGTTTAGGTGTAGGGTTGTTAGGGTTTAGGTTTAGGGTTGTTAGGGTTTAGGTGTAGGGTTTTTAGGGTTTAGGTTTAGGGTTGTTAGGGTTTAGGTTTAGGGTTTTTAGGGTTTAGGTTTAGGGTTTTTAGGGTTTAGGTTTAGGGTTTGTAGGGTTTAGGTGTAGGGTTTTTAGGGTTTAGGTTTAGGGTTTTTAGGGTTTAGGTTTAGGGCGTTTAGGGTTTAAACCCAAGACAGGGTGCTCCAAATTCAGGTTTCGACCCCCAAGTTTTTGAGGGAGTTCACCACACACAGGTCTACAAGCTCCCACGCCTGCCACGTTTTTTAAGGGTCGGGGCGGGGGCGGTCGCAGACGTCGCGGGCAAGCGGGATGTTTTGGCCGTATTATTACTACTTTTTAATATATATATATATAAATTGGCCCCAAAATGGTGGCTGTCATGTTGGTCTCCCTTTAAACCTACCCTCAAAAAAGTACCATCAAACACGCACAGACACACAGACACACAGACACACAGACACGCAGACACACAGACACACAGACACACAGATACACAGATACACAGACCCACAGACACACAGATACACAGACACACAGATAGACAGACACACAGACTCACAGACACACAGACACACATACCTATGGTACCCTTTCGTAGTGAAGTCGTTGAGGGTGGTCATCAACATTTTGATAGGGTGTTGGTCGCGAGACTTGAATGCTTCGGGTGACCAATGAGGAAAGATCATAAATGCTCTCACTGGCACCATCCAAAGGCAGCGATGGAACGGGAGACTTGACACTTGGACCATCCACCTTCTTAGACAAGGCAGCATCTTCAAGCAGGGACGTGGAGAATATACCTTCCTGTGGTACCAAAGTCATTCACATGACTACCTTCTCACTACACAAAGCGGCAAGTTGAAAATCCTGTCTCTCACAACCATGAATGTGCTTACACTCTTGAGCCCAATTTGTCCCTTTCTGTCACGAGCCCACCCGGCATAAAATGGTTCACACCTGGGCCACGCCTCGCGTGTCAGGAACAGCCACAGCCGAAGAGCGATGACTCGCGACTTTGGGCGACCTCCAAACGTAGAAAACGGTTTGGATGTGGCTTTTTGTGGATCCCACAAATAAGGATATGAAAGAGTACCAGAAGAGTACAAAAAAAGAGCCCGCAGGGGGAAAAGCAGTGCAAATCCACACAAACCGCATCCAGACCGTTTTCGAGACCAAAGCTATTGTGGATCCTTAGATTGGCGCCAAGGATATGGGCGATTGGCCAAACGACCGGACCGACAAATCTGCAGGCGAGCCGCCAAACTGCGGTGAAAATGGGCACCAGCAAGTTGTAGGCCTGCACCCTGGCGATGTTCCGCATCGATGGTTTTGTAGGGATTTTTTGGTGGACATCATCCGGGCGGCTCCATCTTAACACTCAGAGCCGCCTGGCTGGGAAGTCTAACTCAAAGCTGGTTGGTGGACATCAAGTTGGACCTCGACGATGTCCAGACATTGCACAATGCAAAACATATGCCAAACTGTGCGTCAAAAGCGGCTCAAATACAAGTATGCGCCCGCGGTGGTACTGTGGATGGACGAAATCCTGCACCACTTTCAAACCATGGGAAACCATTGTTGGTTGGTTTTTTACAGGGGAATTATCCTTCTAGGGTTTCTTGGGTGGTGCAGGATTTCGTCCATCCGCAGTATGGCCCTTGCGCAAAGGGCAACTGAAGCAACCTCCTTGGAGCATGCCCCCAACACTTGGACCGGGAAACTGACCAGCTCCGCTTGAAAGAGGGAGGGTCTGTGTACACTCGACTTTTGCCAAACCAGCTTTGCCTTAGCCATGGCGAAATTCTTGGAATGGCAAATCAATCTTTAAAAAAAAAAAAAAAGTCAACCCCAGGGCCTCTTTTTGGCATATCCTCCCACAAAAAAACAAACAAACAATGAAGCGTCACCAGGGTCCAAAAAGGGAGGGATATGTTCTACCCCAAACCCCAAGGGGTGGCAACTCATGTGTTACCTTCCGCCTCACAAGCTAGAGCATGATTTCCGGGACTCGAAACGAATCTGGCCACCCTTCGGAAAACAGGAGACTTTGAGAGGCCCCTGTGGCCCCCAAGTGCATATTTACAATACTCTCACGCAAATTCACATGGTACCACAAACAGCATCCTGCTTGGCATTTGGGGTTGGGGCATGTCCTTTAGGGGGAAGCAAGTCATTCTGACCGTCGGATGGGTTCTGCGAGTGTGCGGCGTCATTGAGAGATTTCAAGGTCCATTGCTTTGGCACTCTCCCCAAAGCTCCTGGCTCCCCCAAAGATGTCTTACAACAATGAGAGCGCGAGCCAAAGCAGCCAAATTGTTGAAGGCGGGACCCATGATCCTTTGCTTCCTAATTCATCCCCCTCCAGACGCGCCGGACTGGCAAATGTTCCTTTTAAAGCGTGTCAGGAAACTTACTCCCCTGCAAATTAACACTCCATGACAAATCAGAAAAGTCCACCTCGGCAAAACATAAAACTACAATCATAGCCCAACAAATGTGGGTTCGCTGTTGGTTTCCCTTGAAACCAACCCCCAAAATGGTACCCTCACAAAAACGCGCAACTGGTACTACTGAGTTCCATCGCCAAATAGGAAAGAGTAAGATCAGCAGTTTCACTTTCCTTCCCTCAAAAGACAAGGCCCAAAGTGGCACCTTCAAAAAACCACACATGCAAAGCCATCCAAACCCATCTGGGCGTCTCAAACTAGGGAAACTTGCAGATGTCCTTTGAACACGTGAAAAAACATGTGCTCAAAAAGAGATCGCATGAAAAAAAAATAACTAGCTTGATCCTTGTTCGTGTTTCTTGGTGTTTTCCTATGAACACCTGAAAAAAGCATGTGCTCAAAAGGCGATCGCATCCACCCGCCCCAAGCCGGCGGATTACGAAACCCACGCGCCTCACGGGCATCCGCTCCGGGTTCTCCGGGTCGAAGCGCCAGCCGCAGAAGATCCGAGCCCCCAAGGTGCCGTACCTGTCCTGGTGTGGGCCAGGGGCAACCGAAGGCCACCCTTTTGACGGGAGGAGGGGGGGGGGGGGGGGGGGTTGGCAACCCGTTTGTCTGGGAGATTCATTTGGCTGGCTCTTTTGTCTGGGGGGGGGATTTATTTGGCTGGCCCTTTTGTCTGGGGGGGATACATTTGGCTGGGGAAAGCAACAAGAAGCAAGAAGCAACAAGAAACAAGCCCATTTGTTTGGTGGGGAGCTTGGGGAGGGGGGGGAGCAACAAGAAGCAAGAACGGCAAAAAAAACCAAGAGCCTGCGTTTGTTAATTGTGCCATTTTGGTTTGTGGGGGGGGGATCCTGGTGCACAAGGCGACGTGTTGCTTGAGTTGTTGGTTGGACCCAGACCATTTGCCACCCAAGCATGCTACATAAGGCAACTTCTGGCTTCAATTGGAGGTCTCCAACAATCACAATCACTTCCGTGATACCGCAACATCTGATTCATACTTCAACCAACCCGTGGGTCCTGGCATCACAAAGCGGAACACAATAGCGTGGTCTGCCCTTTGGCGACTGGTGATCGGTGTCAGCGTCAACTTGGTTGAAATGGTGCATGGTTGGGGCCTTGAGGCGCCCTACTTGGTTTAATTGAGACCCGGCGGGTGAATTTCCCTCGATCACCAATTTGAAGCACCCCCCACAGGTCTAAAAAAGCGGCTAGGTACGGGCAAGGAATACGGCGTCAGATGTCGCCATCCCAAGCGAAGATCAGTCCTGCTGGTTGCACGCCAAGTTGAAGAGGGCCGTCAGCGAAACCACCTGACCCGCTCAGACCGCGACTGGGGGATTTCCCCCACGGGGTTCGCTGCAAAAGAACATCGACATGTCACCAACCATTTGACGCCTCCAGCTTAAGACGTACCAAAACGATTCCCCTCAGAGGTGTGCCCACTTCATGTCTTGGAACATTGCCAAATGTACGGCCAGTTCAACTCAGTTCAGGTTTCGATTCACCCACTGCCATGTATTGCCAACAGGCCTCTGGCCAATCCAACAGGTGTCGATTCGCTGTGCTCACCTGCGTTCGATTGCCTGATCCGTGTATTTCTCATGTTCATGGTCTGCTTGACGAGCTGTCTCCAAAAGGCCACGCCAACAGCTGCCTCACAAAGGTCTCCCTTCGTCAAACAATCTACGGCCTTGTAGAACCCTGTTGGGGTGAGCGCAAGCATCTGCGACGGAGCCGGCCCTCACCTCGCCTGCACCCAGAACTGGAGAGGCACGTCACAGCTGTCCGCGCTGTACTTTGTGTACTCGTATGCAAGCCACACCTGTCCGAAACGGGCGACTCATGGCGACAAACACGGTCTACCTGATCTACCTTCTTTCCCCTCGTGCCTGTGAGGAAACCAATATTTTGTTGTTTCGCATTGTGGCATGTTGCTTTGCTGGCAGTACCCAGGCTTCGGATAGGGCTTGGAACGTTCTCCTTGAAGGCGCTAGAAGATGATCACGCCAAAAAATTCAACATAAAGACAAAAAGGCACGTTGTTGACCAGCTAGACAGCTTGGGCAGAATGAATTCAAGCTTGTGGCTGCCTGCTGGCAGTATACCAAAATGTCCAGGTCTTCAACTACGGAAACAACCAACGCCCCTTGCCCCACCCTTACAACTCAGGACAGGTTCTGAGAACCTACATACAAGGGGTTCTGAAGGGTTCTGAGGACCATTCTTGGGTATGTAGGGGGCCCGAACCATTTCACAGGTCACTGTTTTCCCCATGTTGCAATTTATTGGCGAGTTCCAGTGAAAGCGCAAAAAGGGGAATTGAGGGATCCCTGGAGCCCTATCGGCCAACATTTCTCCGGCCCCGCCAACAAGCAGATGCTGGCGATGGTCATAAGGCACAGCAGCGTGGCGAACATGCCTTGGCTCGCAAACAGCCTTACAAGAAGCAGCGAATCCACTCAAAACAACCGATGGACATCACTTCTTTGAACCTATTTGCCCTAAACTGGACTCCAAAAAGTTAACTGTGTGCTGGTCAAAGGGCAAAATGAAGCAGAGTGACACAGAAACCCAAAAGGTCTAATAACACACAGGTTAGTTGTGTGCAGCAATGGGAATACTTCAAAGATCACCCCAAAGGAAACTAAACTTGAAGCTGGCAGCCAAAAGATGACGCTTACCAACCCACATCCACCAAATCCAGCCAACAATTAAATGGCCATGGGACAAAATCCTGTACCCCAGGGTGGTGCACCTACCCCAAAATGGTACCATTGGTTTTGACCCACAGCCAAATTACCTCCAAATCCACCAGTTCTTTCAGGAGTTTGAGTTGGACCAGCCTCCCTAGGCCAAGGAGCACATAGCGCAGGCCCAGTGCAAGACCGGCGCCTGAGTGGCATTTACATAGGTGTCCTTTTAAATAGATGGCCCTGGTAGATGATTGAACCACCAGGTATCTATTTGTCTACTAAAACAACCAAAAAGGCCACCTATGGGCATTTACGTTGCCAAAACCTTCAAAAAGACGTGAGCCTGTTTTTGTCGGGACGCGTTCAATGCAGCACTTGATGTAAACATCCCAAGAAATGGACCTTGGATGTTGACCCGCAACAAATCGCTTGGTGAAGACCGAAACTGAGGGATTTCTGCTTCATCTTGGCTCTAACTTGGAGTATGCCACCCCCGCCTCTTGACTAGCTGATTGTCCAGCCTCGTGAAAAGCGAAGCAAACAAAACAAACGCATTCCACCTTCGGCCTGGTTCCCAACGGGAGCGTTTTGAACCAAGACGCACCTGGCCATGTCTCAACATGGGACCCTCCCCAAAATGGGAAGTTCCGTTTGGGTGGTGCTTCAAAAGTACCAGCCAAAGCCAACAACCACCATGCTCGTTCTTGCAAGATCTGCTGGGCCGATTCTGCAAGTGGGAACAAATCTGCGACTTGACTTCCAACATGTTTCAAGGCGTGCGACTCCGTGAAACAATACTTCTGGGTGAATCAAGCAAGCATCACAATGATAATTAACCAAGCTGAACTAAGCGTTCAAGTCCAACATCATTCGCCGACCTGAAACAAGAGTCCAAGCCATGATGTGGTGGATTCAGACTCGACGGTTGTAGTAAAGCCCCCGGGGCACGTCGCTCCTTTATCTGGATCTAAGACGTCCATTTGCGAAACTGACTGCCAAATGCCGTGTTCAAGGGGACAATCGGGATTTGCCAAACAAGACTCAACGACAACCAGTATTGCTTTTGACTTTGTCGCAGCCAATGCTAGTGCCAGGCTTTCCATTTCACAGTGTAGCGCAAAAGAAAGTGAGACAGCACCTTTGCTCCCTCCTTGCAAACATAATGAAGTGTCACAAGCGCAGAGGAAGTCCGATCCAGATAGTGAAACTGCAATTGAAACGAAACATGATTTCACCAGACCCAAGCTGTGACGCCGTCCCACCAGCAGTGTTCAGGCCTCCCCTTTTGAGGATTTCCTGCACTTGAAACTGCATCCTGAAGAGTTCGGGACCCAACTTGCGAACAGGGGAACTGCTGAAAAGAAGAAAACTACCTTCCAACCTTGACGAGCTGTATTTGTTTGGTTGTGGGCCTTTTGGGGTTGCATCCAGTGGTTCTAGTTAGGGGAAAGGGATTCCCCCCCTTGAAGGTCAGTCTCCCCGTTACCCCTATTGATCAGGGCAACTTCCTTCGCAAAGTTGCAGCCAAAACAAAACACACAGCTTCCTTTCCTTTCCTATTGCAGTATATTGTAGTCCTATTGGGGCCAGGAAAGGAAAAGGGAAAAATGAGCTCTGGATTCTTAGGGTCTTAGGGCTCCACCTGCACGTTCTCCGCGTCCGGCTGCGTGGTATCGCCCTGCGCGGGCAAAAGCCGAGCAAGCCGATCTGCCGATGGGCAACACAATCTGGGCGTGGTCTGTGTGCTGAAATGTGATTGGCCAAGGTCGACTGCCCAATTCATGGGGCCCCTGACGATGTTACTTATCAAATCTGGACGTTGTGAGGACCCCTTTCATCCTCACTTATGCAACCTGTCTATATAGGGTCAAAATGACTTGTCTTTTTAAGAGGACATGGACTTTTTGCTCAGTCCTCTGCGCGTTCTGTTTGAAGTGTAGTGAGCTCATTGACTCATCAACCATCTGGAACATCAGACTCATATGCAACGGATCCGGCACTGAAATCGAAAAACCTGGGAGCCACACACCTCACCTCTTTGGCCGTTTCCCACCTGCTCGAAGTTTAGGGGACCTCGACGAAAAAAGGAAAGCTGGGAAAACCAAAAGGTCGAAAGGTCGATCAGCCTTGGACCAGGAAGCCGTACAGTGGCGGAAGGGCCCCAAATCCTTGGCATCGGTCCAGAAGCCACCTCGTTTTTGGCCCTTCAGGTGGTCCTTTGGGCTTCCCCGGAAAGCCGTCCAAAAACGGGGCCCCCTATTTGAGACACACCCACTTGCACACTGGTGGCGCAGTCACAGAAGCCGCTCCCTCCGCGCCTGCGTCTCCTCGTTGCCCTCGGAAGTCCAGGCGATCCGAAGGCCACAGAATATGCAGGTACCCTTTTGCTACGACACCGCTTCTGGCGATAATTTAAATTGGTGCCGTGAGTTTTGAAACGGAAGTCGCGGGAATTCACAGGTAATTACTTGCTCCCAACGTGCAGCCGCATCAATCATGCCTTGACTTCCCTTTGGACACCCATCAGCTGCAGTCTTTGAGCAATGACCTCAACCCAGTGGCCAGGGTAACCCTTTGGAATCATTGACTTCGTGCTATCCCCAAACGGCTCACGGCTCAAAATACCCGGCAGTGGCCCCACAGAATTGGGGCCTCGACATGTTGGAGACCTGCTGAAGCTTAAGATGCCACTTGCCCCTGAGCCCGTGCTGCACTAATCCCTAGCCAAGGGGCACAGTAGTTTTGGGGTAGAAGGGTCTACCGGAAACACCCGCCATAAGAAATTTTACAGTAGTTCTGCCCCTCCGAACCCGGCGTTGTCCGCTGAGGCCCGCGCATCGTTGGAGGCTTCGAAGAGGATGAGCCCCTTGCAAGCGAAACGCGCGCGCGCGCACAAGCCCTCGAAGGATGCTCCCGGGTCCCGTTTGTGGGCAGAGGTCACACGAAGGGCGCGGCATCTCCCCGTGAAAAGTCACGGGACTCAAACGTTAGTCCCAAGGGTTTGGCCAAAGAACGATGGCCAGCTTCGCGCGTGTCATGTTGCGAATGCTGTTCACCATGAGCCTGACTTAGAAGCTGCAAAAAGGCTGGGTTTAGATTGTATGTAGAGCGGCTGTAGCCGGGAAACCATTTGTCTCTGTGAGCCCCTCTGCTTGCCCAAGGATCGACTCTCCGAGGAACCCAACCTCGACCACGCAGAAATCACAGGGTTGCTTCCCTTCTAAGGGAATAAGGGCTGAAAAACACCGCAGCGCTTCCGTAGAATTGGCCCAAGTCCTTCCCCCCACCGCTTTAAATAAGGCCAAGATACAGGCTCCCCCTGACTGATAAAGACTTTGCTCGAGGGTCTCCACTGTGGTGACTATACCAACTTCGATTCAATTGGGCGGACGGGTTTTCGTCCGAGCCTTACCCAGAACCTCTCAAATGAAACATGTCCACTGAAAAGTCAAACTAAGCCTCCGGTGGGCTTAAACCCCAAAACAACGACAACAGTCTAAGTTGTCAGCATGCACTGGGTGCCAAATCTACGGACCCCTTCAGAGGCTTAATTTGGATGACGGCGTCCACTGAAAAATCCGACGGGATTTCAATGGACGTTACACATGGACACCGGCCGATCTCCCAGCCCCTCACCCTGCACCTCCGCATCCGTCGGCTCGTGGCCGGACATGGGGGCGTTCTCGCCAATTGTGTGAGAAAAGGAGCCGGGGGGGTCCCTTGGGTGCGAAACCTGGTTGGAAAGGGCGGGAAAAAACAAAGGGCCCCGCCCCCAGGCATGTATCGCTTGAGAGTGATGCAGTCGGGCTTTCCGGCGGAAAGCAAGTAGGGCGGAGTGCCAAGTCGCTTCACATGCTTGACATACGACCGCAAAATCTGCTTGCAGCCCTGTGTGATTTGGTTCGGGCTTGCAAAAGCGTTTCTGGGTTAGTAGGGGTGAGCTTCGCTGCTTGGAACCAGCTCGCCTGCAAGGGGGTCACCTGTCGTGTTCCAGGTCTTTCTGCGTTTGGCATCCGTCCAAAGCCAAAGGCAGGCACCACCGAGACCTCGGCCCTGTGAGCCGGGGTGTCGCTCACTGCGGGCGCAGTGGAGACAGCGCCACGAGGCGAGTGTTGTCAAAGCTCCGCATGCTGCAATCGGTTTAATCCGCACCATGTCCCTAAACAATGAAACCAACCACAAGCACAGCCGCAAATGGCAATCCATGGGTGATCTTCTACCACCATGTTGGGCACTTCTTTTGGACGTCGCTTCCGGTGCGGAAGCACACCGAGCAAGGCCCTACGACGCCGTCTGCCTCTGGCGGAAGGCGGTCGCTGGCCTTCTCGTGCGCCGGATGGGCTGTGCCTTCACAGCCGCCTATGCTACACAGCCCCTGTGCTTCACACAGGGCCGGTTTTTTTCTCAGAACTGCCGAAATGGAGAATAGGTGACAGAGACACGCCGGATTTGAATAGTAGATTGTGGAGCTTTTGCCTTGGCAAGGCACCTCTTTCGTGACAAGGGAACACTGTTGAAGAGAAATCGGCCCGCTCAGCATCTGCATGCAGCTACCTGCGCGTAGCTCAAAGGACTCGACATGCGCGTTCCCAGGGCAGTACTGCCCTCAATGACTAACAGTACCCCCTCCCACATGTTCGAAGATCATTTGCGTGGTCAATACAAAACCCCCTTTCACACATCCACAGTTTTTCGACTGTGAGTCTTTCCAGGAGAACCCTTCCGCCCATTGTCACGCCACCAGTCCGACACCTAGATCCAAGTCGTTACCCTCTTTTGCTGCAGGTACCTTCTCTTAAGATCTCTGTGCTTGGGCACTGGGTACACTCCCAAGGTGCGAGGTTCAGACGCTTTCTTGCCCCACACCAAACGCCCCCTTTTGAGCTCCTTCAGCTAACCAAGGTGCGAACATGTGAGGCTGTGGGCCCAACCCCTCCAGCGCTCGCCACGTTCGCAACCGTCGCCCCGTGGCCATGACCCACCACGGGGGATTTAAAGCCGTAGTGAGTTGGCGAAAAAAAAGGGAATGACCCTCCCAGCAACTGACATGGAAGTGCAAAAAGGCCCTTTCCAAGGGGAAAGTAATCTTTCTACAGGAGTCTGTGCACTTCCATGTTAGCTGGTGGGAGGGTACTAAGCACTTACTATGTAATTACCCCCCTTAAGAATGGACCAAGATCCTCGCTGGACCACAGGTTGCAAAGCACACCGCCTGACACCTTGGCCCCATGCGGAGCGACCCAAACAGACTTGCCAGGAAAGGGTCTTCCACTAACCTCTCGGAACCGTGGATTGGAACTTGTTGAAGACAACGCTTCTTTTTGTTTTTATCATGCGTGCCCCATGTTCCCCCCCAGATGTCCCCCCCAACGAAAAAAGGTGGCACAAGAAGGTGGTTGGTACATAAGCCCTTATTAAGCCCTTAACAAGACATTCTTATTGGTTTTTCCTGAAAGTCACAAATAAGGGCTTATCAAGGGCTTATTAAGGCCTAAATATCGATGTTGCTCAGACATCAACTACAAACTTGTTGCGCATTAGCTGCCTAGCCTCGAACGTTTCACATGACCTGCTACTGGACCATTGCATCCTCAGACCGGACAAAACTGGCTGTATTTGTTGCCGGCTTGTGTGCTTTATTCCTTTTTGGGTGCCAAACCACCTGGTGTGCGAAAACAAAAAACCAGGACCCCCCCCCAATAAATAAGCCCTTATATATTAAGCCCTTTATTCAGCCTTAAATAAGCCCGTATTTGCCCTACGAAAAAATGCGCAAAAATGGTACGTTGCTTGTTTGAGGCAGTCGAAATTGGAGACTTGTTTGAGGCAAACGCCACACACTTGAAGCCATATTTGTCTGAGGAAGTTTGCTTGACAAGCAGGTTGAGGAAAGCCACCGTGGACTTGAACCCTTTTCCCGAAAGCATCGCGAAGGGTTCTTCCGTGCGGAGCCCTTGGACAAGTTAGCCACAGAGCCAAGTTGTACAAAGCCAAGTTACATAGAGCCAAGTTACATAGAGCCAAGTTACATAGAGCCAAGTTACATAGAGCCAAGTTACATAGAGCCAAGTTACATAGAGCCAAGTTACATAGAGCCAAGTTACATAGAGCCAAGTTACATAGAGCCAAGTTACATAGAGCCAAGTTACATAGAGCCAAGTTACATAGAGCCAAGTTACATAGAGCCAAGTTACATAGAGCCAAGTTACATAGAGCCAAGTTAGCCATAGAGCCAAGTTACATAGAGCCAAGTTACATAGAGCCAAGTTACATAGAGCCAAGTTACATAGAGCCAAGTTACATAGAGCCAAGTTACATAGAGCCAAGTTACATAGAGCCAAGTTACATAGAGCCAAGTTACATAGAGCCAAGTTACATAGAGCCAAGTTACATAGAGCCAAGTTACATAGAGCCAAGTTACATAGAGCCAAGTTACATAGAGCCAAGTTACATACATAGAGCCAAGTTACATAGAGCCAAGTTACATAGAGCCAAGTTACATAGAGCCAAGTTACATAGAGCCAAGTTACATAGAGCCAAGTTACATAGAGCCAAGTTACATAGAGCCAAGTTACATAGAGCCAAGTTAGCCATAGAGCCAAGTTACATAGAGCCAAGTTACATAGAGCCAAGTTACATAGAGCCAAGTTACATAGAGCCAAGTTACATAGAGCCAAGTTACATAGAGCCAAGTTACATAGAGCCAAGTTACATAGAGCCAAGTTACATAGAGCCAAGTTACATAGAGCCAAGTTACATAGAGCCAAGTTACATACATAGAGCCAAGTTACATAGAGCCAAGTTACATAGAGCCAAGTTACATAGAGCCAAGTTACATAGAGCCAAGTTACATAGAGCCAAGTTACATAGAGCCAAGTTACATAGAGCCAAGTTACATAGAGCCAAGTTACATAGAGCCAAGTTACATAGAGCCAAGTTACATAGAGCCAAGTTACATAGAGCCAAGTTACATAGAGCCAAGTTACATAGAGCCAAGTTACATAGAGCCAAGTTACATAGAGCCAAGTTACATAGAGCCAAGTTACATAGAGCCAAGTTACATAGAGCCAAGTTACATAGAGCCAAGTTACATAGAGCCAAGTTACATAGAGCCAAGTTACATAGAGCCAAGTTACATAGAGCCAAGTTACATAGAGCCAAGTTACATAGAGCCAAGTTACATAGAGCCAAGTTACATAGAGCCAAGTTACATAGAGCCAAGTTACATAGAGCCAAGTTACATAGAGCCAAGTTACATACAGCCAAGTTACATAGAGCCAAGTTACATAGAGCCAAGTTACATAGAGCCAAGTTACATAGAGCCAAGTTACATAGAGCCAAGTTACATAGAGCCAAGTTACATAGAGCCAAGTTACATAGAGCCAAGTTACATAGAGCCAAGTTACATAGAGCCAAGTTACATAGAGCCAAGTTACATAGAGCCAAGTTACATAGAGCCAAGTTACATAGAGCCAAGTTACATAGAGCCAAGTTACATAGAGCCAAGTTACATAGAGCCAAGTTACATATACCCAAGTTACATAGAGCCAAGTTACATAGAGCCAAGTTACATAGAGCCAAGTTACATAGAGCCAAGTTACATAGAGCCAAGTTACATAGAGCCAAGTTACATAGAGCCAAGTTACATAGAGCCAAGTTACATAGAGCCAAGTTACATAGAGCCAAGTTACATAGAGCCAAGTTACATAGAGCCAAGTTACATAGAGCCAAGTTACATAGAGCCAAGTTACATAGAGCCAAGTTACATAGAGCCAAGTTACATAGAGCCAAGTTACATAGAGCCAAGTTACATAGAGCCAAGTTACATAGAGCCAAGTTACATAGAGCCAAGTTACATAGAGCCAAGTTACATAGAGCCAAGTTACATAGAGCCAAGTTACATAGAGCCAAGTTACATAGAGCCAAGTTACATAGAGCCAAGTTACATAGAGCCAAGTTACATAGAGCCAAGTTACATAGAGCCAAGTTACATAGAGCCAAGTTACATAGAGCCAAGTTACATAGAGCCAAGTTACATAGAGCCAAGTTACATAGAGCCAAGTTACATAGAGCCAAGTTACATAGAGCCAAGTTACATAGAGCCAAGTTACATAGAGCCAAGTTACATAGAGCCAAGTTACATAGAGCCAAGTTACATAGAGCCAAGTTACATAGAGCCAAGTTACATAGAGCCAAGTTACATAGAGCCAAGTTTCATAGAGCCAAGTTACATAGAGCCAAGAGCCAAGTTACATAGAGCCAAGTTACATAGAGCCAAGTTACATAGAGCCAAGTTACATAGAGCCAAGTTACATAGAGCCAAGTTACATAGAGCCAAGTTACATAGAGCCAAGTTACATAGAGCCAAGAGCCAAGTTACATAGAGCCAAGTTACATAGAGCCAAGTTACATAGAGCCAAGTTACATAGAGCCAAGTTACATAGAGCCAAGTTACATAGAGCCAAGTTACATAGAGCCAAGTTACATAGAGCCAAGTTACATAGAGCCAACTTACATAGAGCCAAGTTACATAGAGCCAAGTTACATAGAGCCAAGTTACACAGAGCCAAGTTACATAGAGCCAAGTTACATAGAGCCAAGTTACATAGAGCCAAGTTACATAGAGCCAAGTTACATAGAGCCAAGTTACATAGAGCCAAGTTACATAGAGCCAAGTTACATAGAGCCAAGTTACATAGAGCCTAGTTACATAGAGCCAAGTTACATAGAGCCAAGTTACATAGAGCCA